TCCCGCCACGAAGACCTTTTTCAATCATTTCATACATGTCTTTATTATGTATTTGTTGAAGTCTAACACCAGTAAGAGATAAGAAGGCAGACCACGAATAATTAGGTAATGTTATGTAATGAGCAGGGTCTAAACCATAATAATTTAAGCACATATCCCTAAAGTTTTCAAAAACATCACTAAGCAAATAAACATCTGTCATCAAATATAAATCATGGTATTCACCTAGGTTTTTGATATTGAAATTATCCCATATTACTTTTGCCCTTGTGTGTTGTGTATCTGTTATGCCTTCTTCATATAATTGACTGTAAAAGTCTTCTATACTTGGTAATTGCGATTCATTGAATTTATCAAATGAATTCATGTAGTCGTAAGGATAAACTCCTTTTTCAGTTAATAAGTCTAAATCGGTTTTATTTCTAATATATGGATTTGCTGATGAAAATCGGAAATTATCCTTCCAGTCATTCCGCTTTTTATATATAGGTTTATCATGTTCATCTTTACCTACTATGTCATATTTATTTAACTTAACTAATTTATCCAAAGATGCAGAGAGAAAAGCCATGCTATCTTTAAACTGTAATGAACCAAATGAAAATGTAATAAACTTTTCGCTATTTTGTGCTATTACATCTATTCTCTTATTTTCGTTCAATTCCTTATTTATTTCATTTGCTTTGCCTATTATTAAGTGAGAGTCATAGTTTTTTAAATTATGAAAAAATACTGGTATCTTGAAATATCTAAATGAATAATCCAAATTACATTTTTCGTGAGCACAACCTCTATACTCACCAGTAAAATGACAGTGGTCACGAACCTTTCTTCCTTTGGAAGAAAGGGTAGTCTCGTGAGCCTCTGGCGAGGCGTCACGAACTTTTGTATCTTCTGGTTTAAAATTCTTATTACATATTGAACATACAGTAGCTTTTCTAAATTCTGCTTCTTGTTCATCTGTAATATCCATTGGTTTATTAACATTCATTTTATCAAAAATATCTTTTTTAATTTCTCTTAATTTATTTACAAAGTGGTCTAAACAATCCTCTCCACGGTATAAATAAGGTTGGCTTGTATTATCAATAGAATTTACAACATTCAACATATAACCGCATGGTTTATGTTCCTGATACGTGCCCTTGATGCCATTATTTGAATTTACAGTTATACACTCAAAATCTCCATAAACAACAAATGGACATTTTAATTTTGTATTGTATTTTTCAAATTCAATATAACTACCTTCTTTTGGTAATTTAAACTGTTGTCCATGTGTTGCCATACAACCAGTTTCATAATGTTTTGTTAATAAATCCTTTCTAGTAAAGGCATGAGAACAATAATGACAATAATGTTTTGGTTGGTCATTTTTGTTTGTTTGCCAGTTCATTACACGACTTAGATTTTTAATAACAACATAGTGATGGTTATTTTCTGTTTCAATTTTCAAAAGGCTTATTTGATGTTTAGCATCTCTTGTTTTAGTTCTGTAATCAATTATAATTTTCTTTTCATTCAAAGTATCATCAATTTCATAAACATTGATTGAAACTAACTTACTATTATTTTCTTCAAACCTTTCAATATCCTTATTACCAGTTGGAAATTTAACACCTTCCCAGTTTAAGATATTGTCGTTTAATTTGTTGTAATGAAAAGTATGTTCTGGGTGACTTTTACTAATCTTATCAAATACTACTGATTGAATACAATATTTGAAACATTTATTATCTCTATTTTGAATATTGATACATGCTTTCTTATGTTTAATCCAATCTGGTAAGTCAATATAACTACCTGCCCTAGTAGGGTCATATTTGTCATAATGTAATGTGATTGATAATATCTTTATAAATTTTAAATTAGATGCTGAACCTTCTAACTTTTCTATGTTCAATAAAATCTCTTTGATTGATTTTTCAATTGCTTCATCCAAATCGGTTTCATTATATATGTTTGACCTTGTAGCAGGTAAATTATAAAGTATCTCTGTATGTTTTATTACTCCATCATCATCATAATAATGATAAAATAAACCTTCTGCCCTTATATTCAGTTTCATAGCTCTATTAGTTTTCAAAAAGGTTAAAAGTCTATCTTTTTGGTGGTGTATCATTGATAGTGCCTTTTCACCTTGAAAATGTTTATTTACTAGTTTTATAGAATTAGCATAACTTTTGAATGCTGATTGTTGGTCTGTTATTCTGAATTTGTTTTTTATAGCGTATTTTGTCATGGCATTTTTCAATCTTTGTTTAAGGTATGTTGAGCGAATTGTTTTTGTAGCATGACTATTATATTCATTGGTGTTTGCTACTGATTTTAATTTCTTGTTCAAAACATTCGAGATAGGTTTTTCTTTGTTGTATCTAAATTTCCTACCATCTACAATTATTGATTTTAATTCCTTGTTTCCTCTTTTTGGTATTTCCGCTTTGTCATTATTTAGTAGATAATCTATAACATGTTTCATAATACTATACTATATAATTTAATATATGTTTATTTCTTTAAGTTAATTTAATATATGAATACTTAAAGACATATTACTATATATAAATAACTATGTTTTCAGAACTTGAGGCAATAAAAGAAACACCGCATTTCCTAGTTCTTGACTTTGTTTGTGACAATTATTTAATATCATTTAATGAAAGTAATGTTGTTTATAAACAGGGAATGTATGCTAGATATAAAAAGTGGTGTAGTAAGAATAACAGAGCATGTATAACCTTTGATAAGTTTGATGAAGAGATAATGAAGAATAATGAAGTTAAATGTTTTACTCATTTTGGGAAAGATTATTATACAAATCTTATTTATGACCCAGAATAAGCATACATATTTATAACATTTATTTGGTTAAATGTTATAATTATTTTTTCTACTTAAAATCTACTTAAAGAAATATTGACTTAATATATTAAGATAGAAATGGTTGAATTTACTAAAAAAGAGCAAGAAGAAATTATTAATGACTTTTTGAATAAAATACAAGTTAATGACATTATCAGTAGTTGTAAATGTAAACTAATAAATGAAAAAGCTGGACTAACTAAGTTAAATTTACCTATTCCAATTGTTAAAAACATTTGTGATTTTAATTATGTTGAATGCGAGAAATGTTTTTATTAAGAAATGCAAAGCAAGTTTTACATAAAAGTAATTTACATTCAACATTGAGACAATGTATTTATGATAAATACAAATTGGAATTTGAAGAAAATACATTTCTAAATGATGACTCATCATTAAGAACATATTGTTTTATAAAGTTAAATACATTTCCTACATATGAAAAAGTGAAAAAATATATACTGCAAGATAACGAAACATATATTTTAAAATTTTATAATGATATTAAATATTACTACGAAAAATCATATGAAGTTAGTTATGGTGGCAAAACTGGAACAACAAGACCAATTGAAGAATTTAATAATAAAATGATATTTAAATTTATTGATGAGTATGATTTATCAAATAATAAAATTGAAAATGATTGCAAGGAAACATTTTTAAACTACATAAAACAAAGAAACCAAGAATTGAAAATCATAATTGATAAAATATGTGATTATATTAAGGATGAACAGAAGAACAATATAATAGGTAAATTAATATATGGTGATGTGATAAATGATATTAAAAGTGTTTTAGGAAACTGGGGCATAGATTTTTGCATTTATGATTTTGCTGATAGAAAATATCCATTTAAAAATAATAAACAGAACTTTAAACAAATACCAAAGATTACAAAGGAATATTTAAATACTAATGACTTTGATTAAAACCATACTATAATAATAACATGTAAAATCTTATATGTTATAATTATACTGTACTTATAGTTTGTAAAGATTGAAATATTTTATTTTTTCTTGATTTGGTTATCTCTTTCAAAGTGCGTTGTTTGAACTTGGTATGCTCTTTTGATTTTTTCGTGCTTTGGCTGTTTGTATTTTATTTTGTTTGATACTCTTCTGATATTTTTTGTTGGTATGTTGCTTTGTTTTTGTTGATGTGTGTTTTTGAGTTTGTGTTCTTTGATGGTTTTTATTTTTGCTGTTTTGTTGGTATGCTTGTTTGAATTATTTAATGTTTTATGCTTTGATTAAATATTTTGTTGGGGGTTGTTCTGGTTTTTGAGTTGCTTGGTGGTTCTTATCTTGTTTTCTGTGAATTTTGCTGATTTGTGTTTATGCTGTTTGATTATTTGGTTTTATTCTTTCAAGTGCCGTTTTATGTCCCCCCCCCCCCGTCTCAGGCTCGATTCCTCCTTGGTCCACCCCTCCCCCCGGGCAGTGGCTCAGTGTTTCAGCAGTCTCGGTTTGCCCGTTTTGGACTTGGTGCTACGAACTTTTACATGTTCCACCGATTCAGCTTGTTCATTTGAGACCTCAGTCTTCTCAGTAAACCACCTCGCAAGAATCTTTGCACACGCAGCATGCAGAACCCAGAGGTGCTTTAAGACAGCTTCTGACGCCTCTCGTTGTTTTCATTTTTCAAGGTTTGCCACGCCACCATGTGCGTTTGCGTGTCGCATCCTACGAATCTTGCCGGGCCTCTCGTTGTACACAAGCTACCTATGAATCCACTCTGTCACCGACCCATCTCATGCAACAACTGCTAGCTTTCGTTCACCCGCTCCTCAAGTCCCCACATTCTTCAGATAGTCGGGGGTAAGGATCAAAAGGAGGCCCGTTCGTTCAAGCAACCTGTCTGGAGAATAAGTTTGTTCCACCTTCTTGAAGTGTTGTTGTCAATTCATTTTGGAGAGATCCTGCAGATTGGCCGCCCAAAAGCCTGTTCTTTGGAGGACTCTTGTTTGGGCACTCTCTTGGAGCGGTTGCCCCGCCTTCAAATGTCCGCAATCAAAATGAGAGTGCCTAAGTTGGTGAACTTTTGTCCTTCACCCAACAAGTGACCACGGACATCACGGGCCGGGTCGATAAGATGTACCCGACCTGAACTCCCGGCCCCACCTGTTTGGGATGACCCGCCCAGCCGCTTTTTGGCTCCCGGAAACAAACAGGGCATACTTCTTTGTTGGGTTGGAAAAAACCAAGGGCCCCCTTGCTTTGGACCCTTCTTGGACACCAATCCGTGTTTTGTTTCTTTGTCTCTTTGGGTGGTGTGGGGGGCGGGCTTTGGCGCAGGAGTCCAAGCCCTTGTTTTGGACCGAGCTGGAGGTGTCCGAGTCGGAGATCGAAGCCAAGCTGCGCCCCTTGGCGCGTTCTCGCGCCGAACGCCTCCGGCCCCCCCTCCAAATTTCCACCACACATTGACTGGGAAGGCTTCCCCCAAAAGGGCTCTCCCAATGGATAGATGCAGTCTAGTGAATTATGAGCCGGCTTTGGTTTGTGGGGTTTGAGGGCCTTGAGTTTTGTCAAAACGAATTGATCTCTTTTAGCCGGACGGATTTTCAGGGAAGCTCAAGGCAAATCAACCATGCGAAAGCGTCGAACTTGTTGTGGCACATCGCTAATATGGAGGCTCGCAACCCAAGTGCATTCCCTTATGCATGCTGCGGGCGCCTCCCTATTGGAACGGTGAGGTCCATTTTTTGACAGCCTGACACGTGAATCACTTGCCCCGGGCGATTGGAGGAGTCCGATTCGATCGGATGATTCCTGGCATGGCTTTGGGTATGATTTTGACCGGTTTCTGAGTGTGACTCATACATGTTGTCTCATTGAAATGATCCACACCGTTCCCAGTACACGTTGATTGCCTTGCTGTTTTGCTAGATTGAACTAGTCGGTTTGGCTTCTCTCCTTTGATCTTTCCCGCCTTTGGAGGTTTCCATGCAAACCTTTCGTGCCAGTCCCCGAAGACCTGACTCCCTGGCTACGACTCTGGGTCTTAGGGTTTGCTATGGGCTCCACAAGTTGCGCCAGTTTTGATATGGAAAAACGATCGCACAAACCAACTCTCGGTCCCCTAGTGTGTTTTCTCACCCCTTTGTTGGGGGAGGGTTCCCGTACTAAAATAGACTGCAGAAGAAGGGTACCCTGATTCGAACCTCTCTATTGTCCCCGAGTTTTCGGAGGAAATACACATGTCTCCAGCTGTCGAAGGTATATTTTATTGGGCTGGATGGTCCAATATCAGCTTTTCCACAGAAGGCTGGTGCCGCGTACCAAAGCCACAGTTAGTTTCACAAAGTCCTCGATATTAGCTCTGGGTTGTCAATCTGATGGCTAGCCCAGTTGCCCAGTGGCGCCCTTTTTCCATTTTGTTTTGGGAAGAGTTCTCCTTTAAACTCGACCAACCAAAAAACGGGTGCCCTTGTTTTCCCATCAATTTTCCCCCTTCCCCCCTACCCTCAATTTGTTCCCTTCCCCCCCCACCCTCAATTTTCCTCCTCCCCACCCCCCCCGGAGAAAAACACACAACAACCCCCCCTGTATGATGTATGCGGGGAGTTCCTGCCCCATGTGTCGCGGACAAATTCCCAGGAAGCAGTTGTTGCAATTATCTCAATTTTCCGAATTAACTAGGACAATTGTGTAAAATGGATGCCCACATTTCGTGATTATCTCAATCATTTGCTTGATTCTGATAAACCACTGACTTTTGAATTTGACGGTGCAGGAAAGAATGTGCCGGGACCAAATCATGAACAGCAGCATGGGCTCTACCCAAGCAAAACGGGTACTTGGGCATTACATGTTTTTGCTTTTAGTTGTCTAATAAGTTTGCAGAAATGACACCACTATCAAGAATCTGCCGGAATTTTGCTGCTCGAATCCGCGTGGTCGAGGCTCATGACTTGGCATGTCAACAGCGGCATCAGCGCTAGCTGAGTCGCTGGGGGCAGAAAATGAGTGACTCCGCATGGGGCGCAGAGTGCCCTACCACCCCCCCCCCCCCCCCACCATTTTTCTCCATCAAACACACGAACAAAAGTCAAAAACAACAAACAAAACTCCCCACAACAAGGAGCGCAAACCTCCCCCCCCGTCCCCCGCCCGTCCCCCCGTCCCCCCTCCCGACCCCGATTGTTTTGGGGGTGTCGGCAGAGAACCGGCAGAAACGCGGGCCTCATCCACCGGCCCGCCCGTGGCCGAGGCGCGGCCTTTGAGGAGGAGGAGCCCTTCAAGCAGCTGGGCTCCGTGAAGTCGGTGGCCTCCTGGCTGAAGCCCTTCCTGGCGGAGGAGGTCTTCGGAGGCGCGGGGCAGACGGGGAGGGCGGAGCCGAGTCGCAGCCTTTTGGAGTCGGAGGCGCCCCCAAAATACAAAAAAGGGGTTCTGACACAGTTTGTTTTTTGAGTCAATCGGGGAGGAGTCGGAGCTGACAGATCGAGCTGACAGATCTCGAATGTGGGTTTTGTTATGAGTTGGTACCCCCTTTTTGGTGGCGTTTGAAAGGGACACCAACAGGGGCCTTGTATTTTTCTTAAGGATTCTGAGCCTAAAAAGGGAGTTCACAGCCCCCCACCTACAACATTGCCAGGGACCAAGGACAACTATGTTGTCTACGATTTGCGTTTGGTTTACTTGGAATACATGTGATGGGTTTCGGGAAATGCCACCAACTCCAACTGTGGCCCTGAAGAGGTTCCACTTGGTTTCTGCTGGAAGGGGTTAAAAGGTCATGTGTTCGGCTGGATGAGATTCCTGAAAACGATGTGTAATAGACATGGGCCCCTGCGCATGGAAACCATTCCGTAATACCAAAGTGGGATTCCCATCCCTAGAACTATTTTGTCCCTTTGCAGGGGATCCCCTTAAGCTCTGCAGGAAAGGAAACATAGGAGCCCTTCTTGAGGAATTCAATTGCTTGAATATCCTTTTCAGGGTTGGTAACATCAAAAGGCAACCCTCCAGCCACTCCAACACTCCCTCAAACCAACTACCGGGATACGTACTTCCGGCGTTTCCCATGGCCCATGGCCTACTCCAACCCTACTTGTTGTTTTTTCTTCACGTTCTAAATGATGTCTTGTCGTTTTTGTTTCCAGCCCATATAAAGGGTATCCTTAACAAAGACACACCCCGTTTTTTGTGTTTCACTCGGTGGTTCCCAGTCAATCCGGTTCCTGTGGGTTCTGAGCCTTTTTTTTGTGTTTTTTTGGTTGGCTTTAAAGCGCCCTGGATTTTCCCATGTCCCCCACTTGTAGCGGGGGGATCCGAGCACGGACAGCCCAGTTACCTCCATTTGCTTAAGAAGGTTTTTTTTTAATACTTTGTTGGTGTTAAAAGGAGTTCATCACTACTTGACATACTTTCTCATTTTTCCCTGGGGGCCTTAATGAAATGGAAGCCAAGGAAACCTGTCAAAATGGGGCAATATAAGTGGGTTCCTGACGGTATAGAATGACTCACCTCTTAAAAGCACAGCTTTTCAACTTTTTGGGTAACATGGGCTATATGTCTGTAAAGGCTTAACTTCCCCAAACCCTTGGAGTTTTAAGGGGTAAGATGAAAGGCCGGGTGCCTCCAAACCAGATCCAAAGTGAAAAACGCCTTCGCCAGGCGAAGGGCGCCAAGTCCTCATCCCTTGGCCCGAGGAGGACGATGACCAGCTGGGCCACGGCGGGTGGGTGGCCTACTCCCGGCGCCGCTTGGACGGTAGACATAGGATACATTTTACATATCACCAGTGACTCCATGTGAAGCAAGCAATAAAATATACATTCTGTTTTTCTGGGCCTAAATCTAATGTGGAGACATGGCTGTGGCTCCCCTGGTAAGTGGAAACATGGACCGAAACTTGCATAATCCCCCCTGTTGAATTTTGAGCCACACCCACATGGGAAAACGCTTGCGCGGAATGTTGGACCTTGGTGGGATTTTGGTTGGTTTCCCTTTGGAGTCCCGTCAAGCCAACCCCTTTTTGGGGGGTTCCCCTTTCGCTTCCCTTTAAACCGACCCGCAACGGGTATCCTCAAGAGAAAGACACCCACATCTAAGAAGTCAACTCTGGAGATGAATGCAGATTGTAAACCTGCTCCCGTCCAGTTTTGGCCTGTTTTTTGGGGGTGGCGTGTTTGGAAGTGAGCTCTGAGCTGACCTGCCAATGGCGTTGGCGGTCTCTGCATGCTTCGTAATGTTTGTTGCCACAGGCTGAGGGAGTCAAGCGAACGGCACTTGAGCTGGGAGCATCATCTTGATTATTATGGTTATCATTAGTCAATATCACAATTGTATCATTTTATCTTCATGATCATCATTTTCATTGTCACTATTGCTTCTTGTTGTTAAAACCAACATCCCCTGCATGGCCAACAGCTTCTGCACTCTCACTGCACGCACAAAACAAGGACGTGTGTCACACCCCCTTCTGTAGCTGTTCGGGTGTCCGGGGTCTATGTGGGGCTTGGGGAGCTGACCATTTGCATAGACGCACGTGGCGTTTTTTTGTTTTTCTCCTCCGAGCGACTCGGGCCCACGGGCCCACGGGCGGCCGGATGCGCCGACGAGGCCAGGTGTGCCACATCACCGCCATGAGCTTCTTCGGCGCCACCACGCCGGGCTTCGACGCGGGGCTGCGCCCTTGCGGCAGACATCGCGTGGGACGCTGTTCTCCCGTTTCGCCAGGGGCATCAAGTGGTTCCCAGCCGTCCTGTTGGGTTTTTCTTTTTGGCTTTTTAGGGTTTAGTGTTTAATGGGGATTTGAGCTTGGTGGTTCCCAGTCATCCGGTTGCTGTTTTTATTTGGTTTCGTGGTTTGATGTTCATTTAACCCACAAGTTAGCCACCTTCAGGGGGGAATCCGAAAACGGACAGCTCACATAATTGTGATGATCAAAGTCAGCCACTGTTTCCCTTTATAACATCACTTTGACTTGAACCATGGTATAGGGCCATCAGACACAGAGTTCTGGGAGGGTATCTGGCAGTTCAATTTCTTGGAATGATGTAGTAGACACCCCAGCCACATGGTTCAAACTTCGCCAATTTGGGTTGGTTTCCATGAACCACAGGTGTTGGCGCCAGATGCGGGGTCTTTGAGGGGTGGGCTGCCAAGAATGGTTGAACCGTGATCTCGTTTGGACCAAGTTTGTCCGGTTGACTAAGTACAGATGGATCAGAATCAAGGATATCATCAGGTGGTCAAAAAACAAACAACTTGTAACAGTCTACGTCCGGTCAGGTGAAAACTCCTCGTAGGCAATGACCACCTGTCTGGTTTTGGGATTCGGCCGCCCAGGTTCCGGCTCATGAAGATGTGCCCCTCCGAGGGGGACTTCCGCAAGGTCGCTCATGGCTTGCAGGGTCTATGTTAGTGCCAGCTTCATTTGGCCATGGGTTGCATAACCTATGGCGATCCCATTTTGGGGCGGATGAACATCCATGTGCCACCTGTTTTGATGTTCACCAGGGGTTCAGGGTTTTGACCCACAGCCATTTTGCACAGGAAGTTCCATGATTGGTTTCGTTTAGAGTAAGGAAGCGGTTAGACAATCAATGCTTTTTGCCGATTTGGTAACAGATCTTTGGACTTTAGCCTTTTTGGGAAACAGTTTGTTTTTTGCAGAGACAACAACAGCAACCCAATGGGTTCGCTGTTAAACTCAACCAACCCAAAAAGGGTGCCGCTTGTTTCCCATGGCCACTGGGTATCTGAGGTCAGTGACACTTGGACATTTCAGCTGTTTGCTGTGTGGCTATTTGGAGTGGATTTGACCATGTCGTAGCCTCAGTGAAGCGCATCGAGGTTTCATGCTTGGTGACGAGTGGTGGTTTGTGCAAAAGGAAGTCCAAGCGAACGGACCTTTGGACTGAAGAACCTTTGGGTGAAGGAGGGGTCGTAGGAAAGGGCGAGCATTCAGAAAATCAGGGGCACTTTAGGCATTGGAATAGCTAAACAGGTGCTTGTAAAACCAGGTTTATGACTTTAGGTTTAAACCATGGTTTCAACCAAGTTGCCGCTGCCCTTTGCCCCCTCTTGACAGAAAGAAGCCCAAAACCTGGGTAGATGAAGGTCAGTAACGGACAATCCCCTTGCCACAAATAGCTGCGGATCTCCGCCTTCTTAATTCTTGAAGCGTGGCTCTGGGTCAACCATTGTAATACCGGGCTTTGATTGTGACTCAAATCTGTTTAGTTTGGTTTTCCATTTGGTTGACATATCAACTCGTTTTAATTGGTGGTCGTTTCCCCAATGTGGTTTTGGCTCTGAAAGAGGCCCGCCCGCAAACCGCAAACCGCCGAAGCCAGGCCTTCTCCACGCTGCTGGCGGCCTGCGCAGCGGACCCCTCCTTGGCGGAGGGGCAGCAGGGCCCCCTGCTGGTGGTGTCCAAGGCCAAGCGCGCCCCCTCGGTGGAGGAGGCTGAGGGGGGGGGGGGAGGGGAGGGGCAGTGCACCTCAGGCAAGCTTTTGGGGGGAGGAAGGGGGGGAGGGAAGGGGCAGTGGTTGTGCGATTTGGCCTTTGCTGGAGTGCGTCGTGACCTGCGCAGGCCTCCTCTTGCTCACTACATAGGGGTTGTCGCCCCACCAGCGCCTGAACCCCTGTCAGGTTGGCGCTTGCACCGATCAGTCAGGTAAGTGGTTAAAAAAAACAAAGAAATCACCCACCGAAACGGAGACTTAGAACCATTATAACCAGTATAACCATTATTAGAATATTAACCATTATTACATTATCACGGTTTTTGTGGATTTTTATGGTGATAAGATCCTCTTACTTGAAGTACTGAAATGGTTGCCTTTTTTAGAAAACCCCCTGGTTTGGTGGTCCTCCTCCATCGGTGGCCCTCAAAAAACACAGCGGTCAGTGGTTTGAGTCGTGTTGACTGGGTTGATTCACTAGGTCCCCCAGTAGTGCCCGTTTACCCTTTTTGGGGGGAGGGTTCCCCTGCTAAAATAGACCACAGAAAAAAAGGTCGACTGGAGGACCGAGTTCATCTGGGGTCGACCTCATCCCCTGTTGCGGTGATTAAACCACACAAGTGGCAGGGGCTAGATGGCTCGGTGCAGTTGGAGACCTCTTGGTTTGCTGGCTGTTCGGCGGGGCCTCATCACCATGAAAATCTGCAGCTTCGGGCAAAACAGATCTGATTCTGCTTGTCCAATGTCTCTCCCGATTTGACCCGTAGACGGGAGACTTTGACCCACCCATGCATATTATGTTAATTCGAGTTTCTCTTTTTGGGTGTCTCCCTTGAAATACCATGCAACAAAGTCAGCGCCTTCGGCGTGTCTTTTTGAGGGTACTCCTTATTGCTTTCTTGGAAAGGGAAGGAAGGATACAAGCCCATCAAGGAGCCTTCTTCGAGAAGAAGGAGAGAAAAAAGCTTCCTTCGCCAGGTGTGGCAGAAGGCGCAGGCGGAGAACGTGGGCCTCGGCAGCGCCGGCTTGCGCGTCTGCGACTACGACACCGGCGCGTCGGACGCCTTCGAGGGCGTGGATGCGGTGCCCAGGAAAGGGTGTGAGCAACGGCTGGAGAAAGCGGCGGGGGTGGACTTCATGACCGGAGGCCTGCCCGGCCAGGCTGGGAAGCGGACCTGAAGCCCAGGAGTGAAATGCCCAACAGCCCCGGAGCCACCCCACAAACCTTTCCGGGCAGAGATCTTGTAGCTTACAGTTGGGCAAAAATGTCCAGCCTATGCTTTGGGACTAAAACCAGCGGTCCAATTCCTGGTTGTATTTTGACTCATACCCAGAAAACAACACCTTTTCGGTTTGCCCCTTGTGGCAACGTGAGGCCACGCAGGACATCTCCGCCTCCTGGTTCGGCGGGTACCTCTTCTATGCCAAGGCCTGCGGCCTGGGCGGGGGTCAGGACGAGCGCGCCTCGGCCGACCCGGAGACCGATGGAGACTGATGAAGACCCACGGCGTCGACTTGGGTGCTGGCCGGCGTGTTTCTTTTCTCTGGGTTTCTTTTGGGGGGGGGGGTTGGGGGGGTTTTGGGGGGGCAGTCTCATGGGCTGGTGACATGACGCTCGAGGTGTCCCTTTCTCTTGGCGGCCCTTAGGACGAGTCTCACCTGTGCAAGTAAGGCACCCCTAGATTCGCTCAACTGTGCAGACTGTGGTTAGGTAGGGACGGACATGGGGGGGACTCACTCAATCTCCTATGTCACAATGTTGTCTTTTTTTCTCCCCCTCAGCATATTTTGCCCGTGGCTTCATAGGAGGTTGAGATGTCCTGCAACAGAATCCGGGGATGACGATGTTCAAATTTTGCAGAACCCCAATTTAACACCCAGGTGTAAGCAGGATGCATGGTTAGCCACTTGCACCCGACAAATCTGGGCCCCCCTAAAATGGTGTGTGGCTTGATATAACCAACATTGTTTGCCATTCAGGCTTTGTCCTCTCAATTGGGTCCCCTACTTCCCATTCTTTTGAATGGGAATCGGTGGAGCCTGAGGGTTTTTGGTTTTGCTTGGCCGGCCGGGTGCCCTCCAAGCAAAAAACAAAAGCACGCCTCGCCTGAGCGACTCAGCAAGCCATGAGGCTTGTCCGTGTACTTCCCGGAGGTCACGGCACCTTGGTGGCAGTCGAACTCACCGACCTCTTTTTGTTTTGGAACAGCAGCGTTCCCGAGCACAACAAACATTTGGGCAACTGTTGGTGGGGGTAAAAGGAGCTCACCGGCGAAGTTTGCTTTGATTGTTTTCTTTTTCTCTCTTTTTTCCCGGCTTGTGAGTTGTAAGACATGTTTCGCTATTGAAGAGTCTCTTAGAACAGAGCATCTGGCGGTGTCCTGCAGTTTCCCACCAGCCTTCAGTTTGCAACATGGACGGTGTCCTTCAGTTCTCCTTCCGTTTCCTTCAGTTTCCCAAACCTCAAAAGAAAGACGCCTTTTCCCCCCCCCCCCCCCTCCCCTCCCTCCCCCGCCTCCCCCCACAGGTTTTCGGGTTGGTCGGGTGGTCCGTTTCAGGTGCTGACCTACTTCCTGTCGCAGCACTGGGAGTTCCCCCAACTGCGGCAGCCCGCGTGGATCCTGGGCGCGAGGAACTTCTTCAAAGGCACGCCTTTGTCCGTCGTCCGTCGTGGGTCGGTCGGGTCGGTCGGTCGTGGGGGCGGGGGGGTTGGGGGCGGGAAGGGGTGTTGGTGGTGAGCCACTTTTTTTTTTGGAACCCCGGACGAGGTGAAATTCAATGAACGGGGGACATATAGAAGTGGGTTATAAGACATATCCTATAGGTTACCAAACAACTTACTTGGCGAATCGCACACTCAGGGCTTAAAGTTGGCTTAAAGGATACAGTTGGAAAAAAAGAAGAACTTTCGTTGAGCTTAAGCCGAACCAAGGGAGTTGTGCTATCTACTTTCACCCGTGCACTTGGGATCACAGAATCACCTCGAGCCTGAAGAGAATCCCCTCGTAAACGTCCATTTGCCTAAGAGTTGTTTTTTTTTCCCTGTTCCAGGTCCCCCAGTAGTGCCCTTTCTCACGTTTGTTTTTTTGTTGGGAGGGTTCCCCTACTCAAATAGACTACAGAAAAAAGTTGGTACCCTTATTCTAACGTCTCTACTGGAGCACCTAGTGTTGGTTTTAAAGGGAATCTATCACTATTGGACATATATAGTTGTTTTTCTTCCAGGGACTTAAAGCAAATGGAGGTAAAGCAGATGTGTTTTGGACGCATCCCCTCGTAAGCAGGTGTTTGTTGCACGGCATCCAAGTTTTGCTCTCTGGTTGCGATCTTTTGCCTTCCGGCTCTTTGCAAACCTTTTTTTCTGTGCCTTATGGAATAGGTCGCTGACCAACAAAACATCAGCCAGGCCCCGAAAAGGAAGACATACATAAATTAATAGGGGTCCTGGACTGGCACCCTGGTGTGTCCAAAATCGACGGCTGGCGGATTTCACCTTAGGCCCCGAACTCCAGGACGTCTATATTTTTATTTTAAAAAAAAATAAAAATAAAAAAAAAAACTAAAAACATAGATAACTCAATAAATGAAGAAGCACATAAATATATATATATATAGATGTGAATAAATACATTAAATAAATGAATGAGTGAACGGGATAGCATTGGGAGGATCCCTGGCTGCAAGTCTATGGCTCTCCGGATGAAAGTCTCAGATGGAAGCTTCCGAAGCTCCCCTGTTAGGGGGTATTTAAAGGGAATCTATCACTACTCGATATATATTCCTGCACTATTCCAATTTATTTCAGGTGGGTGAACATATTCCAATTCACCCGGACCTGGCCGAGGGTTTGGGGCTTTCCGGGACGGCGGCCGTTTTTGGTCGCCAGGCCTGGACGGCACGGCGCGCTTCGACGGGCCCATGGCGTTGGATCCGGAGCTGCCGCTGGCGGGGGACCTGGTGGACGTGGAGCTGGCGGGGAAGATCTACAAGATCAGCTCCTCCAGGCGGTGGGAGGGTGGGGTGGGGCGGTGTGGAGGGTTGGGGTGGAGGGTGGGGTGGGGCGGTGTGGAGGGTTGGGGTGGAGGGTGGGGTGGGGCGGTGTTGGGGTGGAGGGTGGGGTGGGGCGGTGTGGAGGGTTGGGGTGGAGGGTGGGGTGGGGCGGTGTGGAGGGTTGGGGTGGAGGGTGGGGTGGGGCGGTGTGGAGGGTTGGGGTGGAGGGTGGGGTGGGGCGGTGTGGAGGGTTGGGGTGGAGGGTGGGGTGGGGCGGTGTGGAGGGTTGGGGTGGAGGGTGGGGTGGGAGCGGTGTGGAGGGTTGGGGTGGAGGGTGGGGTGGGGCGGTGTGGAGGGTTGGGGTGGAGGGTGGGGTGGGGCGGTGTGGAGGGTTGGGGTGGAGGGTGGGGTGGAGGGTGGGGTGGGGCGGTGTGGAGGGTTGGGGTGGAGGGTGGGGTGGGGCGGTGTGGAGGTTGGGGTGGAGGGTGGGGTGGAGGGTGGGGTGGAGGGTGGGGTGGGGCGGTGTGGAGGGTTGGGGTGGAGGGTGTGGAGGGTTGGGGTGGAGGGTGGGGGGTGGAGGGTGGGGTGGGGCGGTGTGGAGGGTTGGGGTGGAGGGTGGTGGGGTGGGGCGTGTGGAGGGTTGGGGTGGAGGGTGGTGGGGTGGGGCGGTGTGGAGGGTTGGGGTGGAGGGTGGTGGGGTGGGGCGGTGTGGAGGGTTGGGGTGGAGGGTGGGGTGGGGCGGTGTGGAGGGTTGGGGTGGAGGGTGGGGTGGGAGGGTGGGGTGGAGGGGGGTGGAGGGTGGGGTGGGGCGGTGTGGAGGGTTGGGGTGGAGGGTGGGGTGGGGCGGTGTGGAGGGTTGGGGTGGAGGGTGGGGTGGGAGGGTGGGGTGGAGGGGGGTGGAGGGTGGGGTGGAGGGTGGGGTGGAGGGGGGTGGAGGGGGGTGGGGCGGTGTGGAGGGTTGTGGGGTGGGGTGGGGCGGTGTGTCTTCTTGAAGGCAAGGAGTCAAGGAGGCCTCTTAGAGGTTGGGTGGGGTGGAGGGTTGGGGTGGGGTGGGGTGGGGTGTGTCTTCTTGGGATTTTTCAGAAGGCAAGGAGTCAAGGAGGCCTCTTAGAGGTTGGGGTGGAGGGTGGGGTGGGAGGGTGGGGTGGGAGGGTGGGGTGGAGGGTTGGGGTGGAGGGTGGGGTGGGGTGGGGCGGTGTGTCTTCTTGGGATTTTTCAGAAGGCAAGGAGTCAAGGAGGCCTCTTAGAGGTTGGGGTGGAGGGTGGGGTGGGAGGGTGGGGTGGAGGGTTGGGGTGGAGGGTGGGGTGGTGGGGTGGGGTGGGGCTTGGGATTTTTCAGAAGGCAAGGAGTCAAGGAGGCCTCTTAGAGGTTGGGGGTGGAGGGTTGGGGTGGAGGGTGGGGTGGGGGCGGTGTGTCTTCTTGGGATTTTTCAGAAGGCAAGGAGTCAAGGAGGCCTCTTAGAGGTTGGGTGGGGTGGAGGGTTGGGGTGGAGGGTGGGGTGGGAGGGTGGGGTGGAGGGTGGGGTGGAGGGTGGGGTGGGGTGGGGCGGTGTGTCTTCTTGGGATTTTTCAGAAGGCAAGGAGTGAAGGAGGCCTCTTAGAGGTTGGGTGGGGTGGAGGGTTGGGGTGGAGGGTGGGGTGGGAGGGTGGGGTGGAGGGTGGGGTGTGGGGTGGGGCGGTGTGTCTTCTTGGGATTTTTCAGAAGGCAAGGAGTCAAGGAGGCCTCTTAGAGGTTGGGTGGGGTGGAGGGTTGGGGTGGAGGGTGGGGTGGAGGGTGGGGTGGGGGGTGGGGTGGAGGGTGGGGTTGGAGGGTGGGGTGGGGTGGGGCGGTGTGTCTTCTTGGGATTTTTCAGAAGGCAAGGAGTCAAGGAGGCCTCTTAGAGGTTGTGGGGTGGAGGGTTGGGGTGGAGGGTGGGGTGGAGGGTGGGGTGGGGGGTGGGGTGGAGGGTGGGGTGGGGGGTGGGGTGGAGGGTGGGGTGGAGGGTGGGGTGGTGTGTCTTCTTGGGATGGCTAGGCGAGGGATTTTTTCGGGGACTGAGGTCAAAAAAACGTCCATTTGCTGAAATGAATATTTTTAATTTTCCCCTGTAGGTTTTTACGGGAATCTATCACTGCTGGATGTTTTGTCTTCATTATTTTTCCGGGGGGCTTTTAAGCAAATGGAAGGCAAGGAGTCAAAGGGGCCTCTTAGAGGTTGGGTGGGGTGGAGGGTGGAGGGTGGGGTGGTGTGCCTTTTTGGGATGGCTCTCCTTCGGGCGACGGCTCTTGCAGGGGACATCTCTTGTTTGGCGACCATCTTTTTGAGGCCACGCCGGAAGAAAGCGTGTGTCAGGAAAGATGCGAGACGTGTTGTTCCTAGTCCTTTGCTTTGGAGGAGTGGCTGCGGTTTCCCTTTGGCTCAGTCTGGAGTCTCCTTGTGGCTGGACGTGTTTTCATCACGGGGCGAAGTGCAGCCGGCCAACCCTCCCAAGGCTTGAAACCGGGGGGAGGCCCCTAAGGCTTGGATCCGACAGGAATGTCATTGATAGTTGGCAAAATTTTGGGAGAGAAGTGGAATTGGACGAGTGGGTTGGGAGAATATGTCATGTCATTTAGAATATGTCAGATTGGGCAAATGGAATTGAAGACATTCCCACTCCCCCCCTCAGAGGACTTGCCCGCCCGCGGGAAATCCCGGCGCGAGAGCCGAAAAAAAGTGCCGCGTGCATGGCCACACCAGCGGGCTCCGTGTCAGGCCCTTCGTCTTCTTCATGAGCGAGAGCCAGGCGTTTTTCGAGGAGACCCAGGTGAACCTGCACCTGGCCAGGAGGAATCGATTGCCGGCCCAGCGAGACATGGAAGGGAAGTGGGCCTTTGAGAAGCAGGCGGGAGAGCGCGGAGAGAGCCGGCGGCTTTGCTGGTGGTTGACCGCTTCTAGGTACCCCAGCTAGGTGCCCGACCTCTCGCCCCTCTTTTTTGGTTGGGAGGGTTCCCCTACTAAAATAGACTACAGGAAAAAAAGGTTGGCACCCTTATTCTAGAACCTCTCTACTGGAGGACCTAGGCTTTGGTTTTGGGCCGTTCTTGAATGGCGGTTGTGAAAAGGTCCATCAGTGGTAGATTCACGAGACTGCTGATGGCCTCAAACCTTTCGTCAGCCCAAATAGGTCTCCGTGACCCCGTTCATGTGTGGTCATGGCTCCCATGTGGCATGATCCAGATTCTGAATTGACCTAAGGGACTCACGAGGAGTTTGAGCACACACAGAGACAAACGCAGCTTCTTCCCCCTTGTCCGCCAAAGCTCAATGTGAGGTGCGCGCCTGGTATCGCTCTATGGCGTTGACCTCTTATGACCAGGCGTCGAAGGGGCGGAGCTTTGCCTCGCGGCATACCTGGTTGAATCTGCGGGCATGTGATACCAAGGGAAGCCCGAAGCCACCCTTCCCACAAACCGAAGGCACCTGGAGGGTACCTGGAGGATCAATTCCCTTAATTATGGGACACCCCTGTCAGGTGCCATGCTGGGAGGTAGGGTAAGTGACATTTTGTCATGGTTGATGGCAACCATTTTGTCATGGTTTGTTGCTCTCATGGGGCACAAAAGATCCAGGCAAAAAGTTGGGCTGTTCAAAGGCAATTCTTAATCCTTACCTCCCTGCCATCAGTTCCGATAGTGGTCCCATTTGTGGTTCCCAATGATTATGGAAGTGGGTTGGCTACCACTCCATTTTGAACAACCCAGAAAAAGTGGATTCGGTAGGCCCACACAAAGTCAAGCTTCTCTTGGTGGTTCCCAGCCGTCCCCTTAGCTTTGTAGCTTCTTAGTTGGTTCAGTGGTAGTGTCCATTCAACCCACTAAAAGTTAACAGCTTTTGGCATGGGATCTGAAAACGGGCAGCCCAGTTCTTGCAGGGGATCCCACACTCCACGTTGAACAGCCCAGAAAAAAGTGGATTCTTGGGTGGACCCGCGAAAAGTTGAGCCTTTGCAGATGGGGTCAACAGCACCCAAGAAAAGGTCCCGACCAAAAAAACAAAAACAAAAACGGGGGCTCGCAGTTTTTGGCCGCGTCTGGAGGCGGTCCAGCCGGCGCTGAAGCAATTGGTGTCCTCCCTTGGGGCAGGGCCCTGGCTGGCAGGTCTCTGGTGCCGTGGCTGAAGCGAAAAAGAACACGCGCGGGGGGTGTTCAGGGATGGCGCGAGAGAGGCAGGGAAGGATAAAAACCAGCCCCTGGTTTCCTTCAAGACTGGGTTCATTCCCACCATTCCCTGATCAAGCAGGGTTGATCTCTGAATCTGAATCTAAGGTTTCTTGCTGGTGCGAGAGATGAAGGGTTCCTGAGAAAAACGGTTTCAGACCCCGAGATAACCCAGCCAACCTGGTGGTTTCCTTTTTCAGACTGGGTTCATTCCCACATTCTTTGAGCACTTGGGGGCAAAACCATATTTCGATATTTATGAGCAGCTCTTTTGTTTTTTTCTAGGGGTGGGGAACTTCAACGGATGTTTTAGCCCCTACCCTTTCCTGTACCATTTCAACCGAGTGCGGAAACCACCGGCTTCTCCTCCCGTCTTCCCGGCTCCGGATCCGAGCCATTTCTTTGGTGCTGAACACAAAGCTGACTGGCCAGAAGATTCTTGGCACTTCCCAGGCATCCGGTTCCTGATTTTTTTTGTTCAGAGGGTGTTTGGCTGCTTTTGTGGTTGGGTGGGTTCCCCGCAAATCTTTTTAGAGATGTTTTTGGTTGGTTTTGTGGTTGGGTGGGTTCCCTGCAAAGCTTTTTAGAGATGTTTTGGGTTGGTTTTGTCGTTGGGTGGGTGCCCCGCAAAGCTTTTTAGAGATGTTTTTGGTTGGTTTTGTGGTTGGGTGGGCTCCCCGCAAAGCTTTTTAGAGATGTTTTTGGTTGGTTTTGTGGTTGGGTGGGTTCCCCGCAAAGCTTTTTAGAGATGTTTTTGGTTGGTTTTGTGGTTGGGTGGGTTCCCCGCAAAGCCTTTTAGAGATGTTTTTGGTTGGTTTTGTGGTTGGGTGGGTTCCCCGCAAAGTTTTTTAGAGATGTGTTTGGTTGGTTTTGTGGTTGGGTGGGTTCCCCGCAAAGCTTTTTAGAGATGTTTTTGGTTGGTTTTGTGGTTGGGTGGGTTCCCCGCGAAGCTTTTTAGAGATGTTTTTGGTTGGTTTTGTGGTTGGGTGGGTTCCCCGCAAAGCTTTTTAGAGATGTTTTTGGTTGGTTTTGTGGTTGGGTGGGTTCCCCGCGAAGCTTTTTAGAGATGTTTTTGGTTGGTTTTGTGGTTGGGTGGGTTCCCCGCAAATCTTTTTAGAGATGTTTTTGGTTGGTTTTGTGGTTGGGTGGGTTCCCCGCAAAGCTTCTTAGAGATGTTTTTGGTTGGTTTTGTGGTTGGGTTTTGAAAACGGACGGCCCAGAACATGGATTTGGCTTCCTTGTGCCTTTGCCAACATTCTACCTTGAGGTTTTTGGAGCAAGGATACATTGGATGGCCCTCTAGCCAGATTTCGGTGTTGGTTTTGGCAGGGGGTTGGGGGCAAGGGCTTTGGGTGCGGCTTTTGGGGGACTTGTTTGTTGGTTTGGAATGGATGGTGTGCTTGAGCTAGACACGTAGTAGTGTGCACATGTCATATTTCTACACAAGTGGATACAGGAACCCGTGCACGGTAGTAGGCAAGCCCACACACACACACACACCCACACGCACACGCACACGCACACGCACACGCACACGCACACGCACACGCACACGCACACGCACACGCACACGCGCACGCGCACACGCGCACACGCGCACGCGCACGCGCACGCGCACGCGCACGCACGCGCACACACACGCACACGCACACGCACACGCACACGCACACGCACACGCACACGCACACGCACACGCACACGCACACGCACACGCACACGCACACGCACACACCTGGAAATACAGATTCTAGTGTAGACTCATGTCTTCTTGGGATTGTTTCACAATCTCCAGATGGTCGTTCCTTGTCTAGGTCCCCCAGTAGTACCCTTTCTCTCCCCTTTTTTGGTTGGGAGGGTTCCCCTATTGAAATAGACAACTCTAACCTCTCTACTGGAGGACCTGGTTGTCACGCGCCTTGGCAATTGTCCGGTGTGTGCCAATCGTAGCCAGTAGGAAATCTGGTCGCGGCCCAGTCGCCGGAAAGACTCAGAGGGACACTTGACTGTGGGTCAAAAATAGAACCCTGGTAAAGGGAAACATGGACTAAAACCTGCGGTCCCCTGGTGGTTTGAATGTTGACCCACAGCCACTTGTGACCTTGCTGATGTGATAGAGAATGACTAGTTCCGGGTGTTGGGAATGAACCGCTTTTGGGGATTCCCGAATAGAGCAACCCATGGTTTTTCTTGGGTTCTGAGGGTGGAAGTCCATGCCCCTGGTTCATACCCCTTGGCTTCCCTGGTTTCCAACCCACTTTGTAAGAGGTGTATACACCTTTTGGGGAGAGGGGTATGAACATTAGCAAGCTTTTTGAGTTCATTTGTTCAAGGGGTATGTAAAATTGGTATGTACCAGCACCCCTGAGTCATTCCGAGCGCTGAGGTGGGGAGACTCCCAGCTTGGCTTTCTGGCCGTGTGGCTGGGCCAGGCCAGAGGTTGCATTCTGCAGACATGGAGGACCTTTTGCATGTTGGACCCCTTTTTTGTCCCCTTTTAAGGTTGGGCCTGCTTTAATTTCCCGCTTGGAACAGTGCCATCAGTCGTTTGGTGTCTGATTTGTGGGACCGGGGGGTAGTTTGGTGGTCTGGGCTTGAGCTCGATTTGTGCAATTTAGTGTTACTCTCAGATTCCTAGTGCGTAAATTAGCAATGCCAATTCTACATCTTTGTATTGCCAAGACTTACTCTCAGATTTCCGGTACTTGATTTAGTATTGCCAATCCTACATTTAACATGGCTAAGACTTACTTTTAGATAAGGCTTTCTTTAAAAGGAATTGCTAAGGCTTTTATTTGGAGTTTCACACCCTCAAACAAGCTTGACATTAAAGATGCCTCGAAACAGCGAAATAAAAGAGGATCAGGGTGCTCTTGTGGGGGTACCACGTTAGTGTGACTCTTGGGCCTTGTTTTGCTTTCGTGTTTTTGTTTTCAGGCGATTCATCCAAACATCGATGGGGCTTTTCAAATGAACACACATAGATACATAAGGGTGTGGCTTAAACTTCATCAGCTAGGGTTACGCAGGTGATAGTCTTTGGCTCCATATACCAAGGTGCCATTTTGGTACATGGGGGTTGATCAAAAGGTCCTTGCAAGGAGTTATGTATTCGGTGACCATTCGTCTTGGCTTAAATCCCTCCGCGAAAGATCGGCGATGGAGTTCGCGAAAGAAACTTATTTTTTCGCGAAAGATTCCACGTTGAATTCTTGGAGGCCTGCCTGTGCACTTACATATTTGCAGACCCCGCTCCCTTGTAGAGAGGGAGATACGCAGCACCTACACTTGCATTATTGATTCCCTGCCTGTGTTGGGATTGGTGCAAATCAATAACGTTGGCTGGGCTATTTTGGAGCAAGTTTCGCGAAAGATCCGCGAAAGACCGGCGAAAGACCAGGGAGCTTGTTGCAAGGTTCCGCACATCGCCGGCAACCGCAAGTGGCAAGGGCGAACGACGGTGACTGCCTGCACTTGACACTACGTACTGCACGCAAGTGAACTGCGACTACCGCGTTTGCAAGCACAACTGCAGCAGCCACAATGGCTCCAGAGCGCACGCTGCAAACAAAAGGGCGTGGCGATGGAGTCGCGAAAGATTCGCGAAAGAAACTTTTTTTCTCGCGAAGATGGCGTTTTCCGGAAACAGGAATATTGATCAACTGCCACATGTTTTGTGAGACACAGCCTATCTCCATGCCTCCAACATCCGTGTCAGGCGCTCGCTGCGTCCACCTGGGGCCAGGAGTTGCCTTTGGATGCTCGCAGAGGGGTTGGACCTGTGTATCTAAGGGTGGAAGTACATACATGAATATCAGCAGGCCTTTTGGGTTCATTTGTCCAAGGGGTATGTAAAAGGGGTATGTACAAGCACCCCTGGAGTGTTGTGTTTTGCAGCCGAAAGCTATGGTCAGGCAACCCCTTAGTTTCAGGTAGCCCTGAATTTTTGGTTTGGATTGGTGGCTTGGGAGTTTGGATTTGAAGCCTTTATTCTTGTAGAGGGTGAATGGCAAACCTCTCCTTGGCCACCAAACCACCAATCCAAACAAGCAATTGCGGGGAAGCTGGCTAGTTGGTGGTTTGGATCGGTTCTTGTTGATGGAAAGCCACCCGAGAAAACACCACCAAAGCGCTGATCCAAATCACCCTCCGCCCAGAGAAGCTCTGGTTTAGCGCAGCTATCAGGGAGGGGGTTTCCGTTGGGCTGTTAGGGACACCTGGGCTTATTGGTACCCGTGGGAATTCAGGGAAACCACGGATGGGCGCTCGCTTTTTGAGGACAAACCCACCTTCCCACATTAAATGAGCCACAATCAAAACCCAGGTAGATGAACGTTAGTAAGGGACACTCCCAACAATAAATTGCTGCGGCCGCCTTCTTAATTCTTTACGTGGTTTCGCACCACGTGATTGAAGGCATGGTATCAAAAAGACCGCACCCTTCCAGATGTGGGTCCAGAACCTATGATTCCCAAGCCTGACTCCCCAAGGAGTTTTCATGGGCAGCGAGCCCTCCCGAAACTCCCAAACGTTCCAAGCCCTTGTTCAGGTACACTGTTACACACCATAAACAGTATCGCTGCTCTTCCTTAGGGGAACCAGGGTGCTGGTTGAAACTGATGTTCAACCCTTAAAAGGATACGTGAAACATACCCTGTGTCTGGTTCTTTGAACGAACTTTGCAGACAACCATAGTAAGGGTTCCTATTGGGGACTCCCTGGTAAATTGTATTTTTTGGGATGGCACGGGGTTCTCGATATATTGAGGTATGGGTATTCGTGGTAAAACCACCCTCCTACACCAAACACCCTTGTGAGTAGAGGGAATGACTGAGCCAAATTGGTGTGACAGCATGGTATGGGAAGCCTATTTTCCTTTTGGGCGAGCTCCCAGGTGCACTTGCATGATTGTTGGAGAGAGAGCAACATATTTTGAACCCGTATCAGTATGTAGCTTTATTACACGTGCTTTTCTTTATGGGTTGTTGGCACTTGAAGAAGAATCCCTTCCTGTCAGCAATGATGCATGAGCACGGTTCCCAGATGGTCATTTGGAGAAACGAACAGACCACATCTTGTTTCCCATATGCTTAGGGGAACGAGGGGCCACCAAAGCATTGAGTAACTCACTAGGTCCCCCGTGCCCTTTTACCAACTTGTTTGGTTGGGAGGGTTCCCCTACTAAAATAGACTAGAGAAAAAAAATCGGGTACCCTTATTCTAAGCTCTCTACTGGAGGACCTAGAGTATGTGCGGTGGGCAGATGTGGCGCCATGTGTCCTGCGGATCGTGCCAGACCTCATCGCCTTGTTTGGTCTGTTAGGAAAAAAGGCGCCACGATCTGATCGAGTTTATTAGCAGTTCATCCGAAGGCCTGCGAGCGAACCATGCCTCGTCACTATGGCTTTAGGGCGTTTGCAGTGTGCCCTGCGAAGCTTTGAATGGGCTCACTGCAAGATCACTTCGGCAGACCCAAGATTCCCAGATTCCCAGGTTCCCAGACCCGATTCCCAGATATGAAAAATTCCCAGATTGGCTGAGGACTACTACGTCTACGCCGACTTCACCGAGAACCCGGGAAACCAATGCTACGTGTTGCCGGAAGGCGCTTGCAAGACCTGCCTGGAGCGGTGTCCTCCCTTCCCGGACAGCGCGCCGCCCGGCGAAGTGGGACGCGGAAATGGAATCCACGTGCCAAACACACAGAGACACAGACCCGCACGCACATCCACACACACACACACACACACGCAGCACGCAAGCACGCAAGCAGGCAGGCAGGCAGGCAGGCAGGCAGGCAGGCAGGCAGGCAGGCAGGCAGGCAGGCAGGCAGGCAGGCAGGCAGGCAGGCAGGCAGGCAGGCAGGCAGGCAGGCAGGCAGGCAGGCAGGCAGGCAGGCAGGCAGGCAGGCAGGCAGGCAGGCAGGCAGGCAGGCAGGCAGGCAGGCAGGCATGCAAGAGCGTAAGCAAGCAGACACACACAGGCCGAGTCGTCGTTTTGAACCAATTGAAACAACTTTTTGAACCTTCTTCCTCAACTTTGACGCTGTTGATAATCTTAACCCCAAAACCCCTACAAATTGAACAATTCTTATCAGATTACACGGTGAACACACACACACACAGATGCGCCTTCCATACTGTGCCAAGCACAAACACGCACACACACACACACACACACACACACACACACACACACACACACACACACACACACACACACACACACACACACACACACACACACACACACACACACACACACACACACACACACACACACACACACACACACACACACACACACACACACACACACACACACACACACACACACACACACACACACACACACACACACACACACACACACACACACACACACACACACACACACACACACACACACACACACACACACACACACACACACACACACACACACACACACACACACACACACACACACACACACACACACACACACACACACACACACACACACACACACACACACACACACACACACACACACACACACACACACACACACACACACACACACACACACACACACACACACACACACACACACACACACACACACACACACACACACACACACACACACACACACACACACACACACACACACACACACACACACACACACACACACACACACACACACACACACACACACACACACACACACACACACACACACACACACACACACACACACACACACACACACACACACACACACACACACACACACACACACACACATGCGCCTGCCACATTGTGCCAAGCACACAACACGCACACACACACACACACACAACCCCAAAACCGCAAAAAAAAACCAAAAGATTGAAAAGTAAGTTTAAACATCGTTGGGGGTCTACGCTTATCAGATGTTCAGGTATCTCGCCTGTTCACCGAAGCAAGAGATGAGAGAAGCGCTGGCACTTGGTTCGTTGGGGATGACTGAATAATAATTCAATCTTAAGTACTTAGAGCAATGTCGGACGACGCCAAAAGCACAGGAATTCAAATTTCTGACCCTCAGGTGTCCCCTAGATGTAAGCAAGAAGAATGGGCTCAATCCTAAGTGATTCCCAGACCTGATCAAGAAGTCACTAGGAAACACTGGGGCGCTAACCCCACCAAACAAAATGACCAGCTCACATCACTTCTAATTTCTCAAGTTTTCTTGGCCCGAGCTTCGCTCCAGGTCTTTCAGCCTCCGAGGTATTGGATGCCGGACAACGCCTACTTCGAGGGCAAGCCCTGCGTGCCAGACTCCTCGGTGTGCGGCGCTAAGGCGCGGGGAAAACTTGTTAACCCGCCCCGGGAGGTCCAGGGGGGTGCTTTTTGCCAACAGAGGCGTCCTTTTGGCACCAAATGGACGGTTTCCCGGTGGAAAATGTGGAAAATGGTTTACAAAATGTGGTTACAAATGGTTTACCAAATGGAAAATGGTTCGACCCCCTCGTAGTGAAGGATTCCTTTTTGAGGGGGTCGCCCATTTTCTCGCCAATTTGGTGACAAAAAGAAAACCCCCCCCTGAGGAGGTTAATACGGAAATGCAGCAAGTGCCTGGTGGTCTGACGGTTGATAGTTGCGTGGCAAGGTGACCCGGGCATGCACATTTTGGCTTTTTACTTGAGCAATGTCTCTGGGGCATGGGGATCACACCGGGGTTTTTGAAGGGTGGTGCGAAATGGATTTCGTTCATGCGTAGTGTCCCTTTTCTTGGTGCGGTAGCTGGGGAATTAGTAGGGGTTTTGGGAATGAGCCGGGCTTTGGTTGGATTCCCTAGCAAACGAAAGGCTGGATGGTTTTTCTTGGTCATTCCAACTCATTCCCTCTGAGAAATTTGAAACACTTGGGGTTGGACCATTCTAGTGGTAAATAACAAGTGGTTGGTTCCTTTTGCTGGCCAATCCACTCCAGTGAGATTTAGGTTAGTTTGGTGAAGAATAGATAGGTTCCACTGTTTTAGATGGCTTTATGAGCCGTTTACCAGGGAAATCCATCGATGTGTCCAAAAGGCTACCTATGCTCACTTCCCAACCCAAACCCACCCTTTGCCCTCGCCGAGTTTTGTTCCAGTTCAGAGTCCAAATAAAACCTTGATCTATCTTTTCAAGTGAGTGAAGGGAAACACGGGACTGTGAACTCAGCAAAACTAGGAAGGCGAGGCCAGATCAGATCGTGGTGTGGAGAGAAAAGAAGTTTTTGCTTTGTGGGACCAGGGCGAATGGGGCAACTGTAGCCATCATTCCAGTCACGGTAAAGCAGGCCGGGCCTGTCAAGGTCAGGCAACTTAGATATCTGGAAAGGGGGTTACCTCCAGTTTCTGCGAAGTGTTTTTTCTTCTTCGCAGTGAGTTAGTCATGGTCAACCACTTTGGCGTCACAGAGGTTGTGATATCCACAACATTGGAAGGGCCTGACTGGACGCGACTGGACTACAGGACAATGAAACCGACCCAACTCGAGGATCCAGGACACCGAGGTGTTCTGCGGTTTTCTCCTGAACTGGTTGCGGGGAGGGGGTTGCTTGGACCCTGTTCGGGTAAGCACCAGCCAGAAAGAGCCGGGAAAAGGGGGGGGGGGAGCAGGGGAGTGAGACAAAGAATGTAACAAGGCAAGACATTTGAGCCACTTGCTCAAAACCCATTCGGGTAGATGATCCGGTTAGTAAGGGACAATCTTGTTGCTATAAATAGCTGCGGATATCCGCCTTTCTAATTCTTTACTTGGTTGTGGGTATCGACCATTTTAATACCGATCGGTTTTGATTATGACCCAATTTGGATGATGAGACTCCTTAGGTAAATAATGGTGGTTATGCTAACCCAACCATTGTTTTCATGGTGGCAACTGAACCTGCGTGTTTTCAGGACTCATGTGGCTTCCCCCGTCTCCGCTGGTTCAGAGTCCCCGTTTTTTGGGGAGTTGACAAAAGGCTCCCGTGGAAGTCGAAGATGTTGGGTGGATGGTTCCCCAGTTGCCCAGTGGCGCCATTTTTCCCCCTCTTTTTTGGGAAGGGTTCCCCTGTAAAGTCAACCAACCAAAAAAGGATGCCGATTCTTTTTTTCCCATGAAAATCCACTGGGCATCTGAGGTTCAGAATGGACTCCAACCACTAAACCATCAACTCAGCTGCGCCTTTTGTCAATCTGCCGCCCACCTGAAACACCGAAACCAGCCCCTGAAGCATCCCTAACCCCGTGGCAGCTACCACAACCCCAAGCCGAACCAGGCTCTTCACCCTCCCCATACCATCCTAAACTGCAGCTCGCCGTTCACCCGCCACAAACCTGCCCTAAACCCGCCCTAAACCCGCCTGACACATACCCGTCCCCACCCCCAGCCCAACACCCACCCCACCCAACCCCGACTGCCAACCCAACCTCCCTCAAGCCCATCCGATGCTCTGTAGAAGCCCCTCACCCCAAAACGAACGCGACCTCGAACTACGGATCTGAACCAGATCCGGCTTACATCAGCCGGAAAGCAACCACCCACCCCGCCACCCATTTTCTGTGGAGCACGTTAATTTTGTTCACTCACCCTTCAGCCCCGAATCCGACCCAAGACTTCACACTTCCAAAGCTTCAAGTGCTAAGGTCGGAGAGGTTTGAGGAGGCGAGCTCAATGCCAGACTTTTTCTTTCCGCCAGGGCATCTCCGACATCGTGGCAGCTTATGGCTCCAAGCGCCTCGGCGACTCCGAGTGAAGCTCCGAGAGGGCTGAAGTTGAGAGGAATGAAGCGATGATGGGCCCCAGAGAAAGACCAGGTTGCGACGGTTTTGCAGTCCCCAGAAAGAATTAAGCAAAGGGCACTCACCCGCCCTCCCCGGAAGCTGCAGACTCCGGGAGCCTTTTCGGGAAGCCCTCAGTCCACTCTGACTGTTGTAAAAAAGGGGTGGCCTTGGATTCGTTGGGTTACACCCCCCCTTTTGCGAAGAAAGCCACCTCAGGCTTTGCATTGCGTGTGGCCTGAGGAGCGTTGCGGAGGTGTGGAAGGAGATTCAGACGAAGGTGGCTGAGGGCCCCATGTCGGCCAATGTCTTCGACATCCTACTGGCCTCAGCTTGAGATTGCAGGTTTACAGGGTTGCTCCGTTGAAGTTTTCCAAGAACTGGAGATACTGTGGGATGGGTGCGAAGTCCAGAAATCGCAGCACCGAACTCATAAACCTTGGAATATGATGCGATTCCCCTGTAAATACCAGCAAACAATGGTTTCCGAGTGGTGCGAACAGATTTCGCAACCATCCACATGGAATGGTGTCCTTGTTTTCCCCGCGATTTCTGCCGTGTGTTCCATCGCCCGTTCTATGGATCAACCCTAACGGCGGTTTCAGAGCTGTCAGCTGAGCTTTTGTGAAGCCTCATGGCTTCGGATTTTTGAGGAAGGCTGGGCATTTCCATGGTTGTTGGGACACATTTGTTTTGATTTGTTGCTTCTTGTGGTTGAGTGGTTGAAAAACCCAAATCCACTGAACTGCTACTTTTTTTTAGAATTTATGCTCCCCAAACCCAACGTCAACCAATTGAAGCAATGCCGCGGCAACCAAAGCGTTGCGCTTGCGAGGACAGGTCCTTGCAACAGGTGGTTTTGAATAGAGGTTTCCTGCCCTAAAATTGGGCATGGTGTGTCTCAGGCTAGTTTTTTTTGTTGCTTAGATAAAAGGAAAAAAGAAGGAAACAAAAAAAACAACTCAATTCCAGACGAGAACTGATTCTGCGTGATCCGCGTGCCACATCTCTTTCTTGAATTCGCCAAGATGGCCTATCGGGCGCGGCTGGAAAAGATGCGATGGGCGCGGTTTTTGGCTCGCGCGAGGCGTTGGTTTGGTTTAACCTGTTTTAAGTGTCTGGGTGTTGCGTCCTAAGGGAAAAGAAGAGGGAGCAAAGGGAGGGTTCCGCAAGCGGTCAACAGATATGCGTGTCGCAACTGAGCAACTTGGCTGAAGCTGAACTCCTGCAGCAAGCCAGGCGACATTGGAAAATGAAGGGACCACTGCTTCGACATGTAAAGCCCCTCTTTTTCATCGGGGGTTAGAATTGTCCGAAGAGCTCGCACGGTTTTCCTAGAATGGTATCTACCAAAGAACGCACTTCCCCGAAGGGAACCCTGAAAAAGTTCACCAAACATTTCCCAGTGTGGTTTGGTGTAGCTCATCTCAGGCTGCAACTCGGAAAAATCGGAGAGTGAAGGATGCAGGCGGTTGATGCATGACAAGAGTCTCTGTTGGGGGAGAAGGGGAACTGCCCAGTTGCATTCCAATAGGAACTAGGGTCCTGGATTGTGCGCCGATGTGTTTGGTGCAAAGTGAGCTTGGCTATCTAGGACCACCCCCGCCTCCAAGTTCCCAGGTCCGTTCGAGGCGCTTACAGGCCTGCCCGCACCAGGCCTGTGCCGGCGACACCGGTGGAGAGTCCGGAGGACAGTGCCATTGATCGCTGATGCCTTGAATGTGCGGACATGTTCACCTTTTTTTCTTTTCCAGCCAAAACTTTCTTTTTTCCCATAGACGACACGTAGTCTTGTCCATGCCGATGAACCTCCAGAGGTTCCTCTGTGCCTTTCGCCTTTCAGAGCAAACTCAATGGCAGAGAAGGAGGCTCAAAAGGTGGGACAGTTTGGTGGAGCTTGCAACCGGCGGGTTGAGTAAACAATAGGTGCTGCAACGAGGTCCTCTTGAAACATATCTGAAGCCACGCAAAGGTCCTCGACATTGCTACATTTAGGCCACACAGGAATGTGTCAAAGGTAGGGGTCGCCCTTTTCAACTGTGGGCTCGCATGCTTGACATGTGTTTGATCCAGATATTAGCATGGTTCCCGCAACATTTTCACCAGAGCCACAGTTCTTTCCGTTTTCTTGATCGTTTCCGATTGTGCGGCTGCTGAGAATGGGGAACCTCTGTATAGCCCTGAAGCGGCTTCCCTTTCACACATCATTCAACAGTGGGTCCACCATTTTGCCAGAGAGAGAGAGAGAGAGGGAGAGAGAGACTCAAATTTTGTCGACCCCTGATTCATCATGAAACCTGGGCCAAAAGTCATCCAGTTCTTCTCTAAGAGACACCGCCCAATCAAACCAATTGAGGGTGTGTGTTAGTCCTGAGTCCTGAAAGCGTTGAATTGAATGGAGGGTAAGTGTAAAGCAAAAACACCCCTAGAATGTATGCACTTCTTCCACTTGGTTAAGACTTTCTTTGTGTTCCCCTGTTGGTTTGACTGGGAATCTATCAGCGCTGGACATAGTGTTTTTTCCCGAAAGCATGGCGAAGGGTTCTTCCGCTGGGTTCACTTGAGTTGTTCTCATGAGAGTCATTACAAGGTGTCATTGCAAGGAATCATCATCATGAAAGTCATTGCAAGGAGTCATTGCAAGGAGTCATTGCAAGGAGTCATTGCAAGGAGTCATTGCAAGGAGTCATTGCAAGGAGTCATTCATTGCAAGGAGTCATTGCAAGGAGTCATTGCAAGGAGTCATTGAGTCAGCCAGGAGTCATGCAAGTTGCAAGGAGCCAAGTGCATGGAGTCAAGTGCAAGTTGCAAGTGCACGGAGTTAAGTGCAAGTTGCAAGTGCAAGGAGCCAAGTGCAAGGAGCCAAGTGCAAGGAGCCAAGTGCATGGAGTCAAGTGCAAGTTGTAAGTGCATGGAGTCAAGTGCAAGTTGCAAGTGCAAGGAGTCGAGTGCAAGTTGCAAGTGCAAGGAGTCAAGTGCAAGCTGCAAGTGCGTGGAGTCAAGTGCAAGTTGCAAGTGCAAGGAGTCAAGTGCAAGTTGCAAGTGCAAGGAGTCAAGTGCAATTGAGTTGCGAGGAGTTAAAATCTCTTCTTGGGGCGGCGGGGTAGTGCCGACGACACTACACGAAAATCGACCCTCTGTGGGGATCGGCGTGGTCGAGGTGCAAAAACTCGAGGTTGTTTGCGATTTTTAACATGCTCGCGCGACCCTCTGCGGGGATCGGCGTGGTCGAGGTGCAAAAACTCGAGGTTCTTTGCGTCTTTTGACATTCCCGCGCGACCCTCTGCGCGGATCGGCGTGGTCGAGGAGCGAGGTTTTTTGCGATTTTTAACATGCTCGCGCGACCCTCTGCGGGGATCGGCGTGGTCGAGGTGCAAAAACTCGGTTTTTTGCGCGACCCTCTGCGGGGATCTGCGTGGTCGAGGTGCAAAAACTCGAGGTTTTTTGCGACTTTTGTTGTTCGAACTGGTTCTCGGGAGTTGTCTCGTGGTTCGCGCGCCTGCTCCCGGGACCAGCGGGTCGCAGGTTCGATTCCTTCCTGGTCTGCGGGCGGGCGTCGCAAGATGCAACTTGCATAAAGCAACTTGCGCAGAGCAACTTGCGCAGAGCAAGTTGCACAGAGCAATTTGCGCAGACCAACTTGCGCCGACCAGCTTGCGCCGACCAGCTTGCGCAGAGCGCCTTGCCTAGAGCAACTTGCGCAGAGCAACTTACGCAGAGCAACTTGCACAGAGCAACTTGCACAGAGCAGCTTGCGCAGAGCAACTTGCAGGGAGCAACTTGCACGGAGCAATTTGCACGGAGCAACTTGCAGGGAGCCACTTGCAGGAACCAACTTGCACGGAGCAACTTGCGTAGAGCAACTTGCGCAGACCAACTTGCACCGACCAGTTGGCGCAGAGCACCTTGCCTGGCGCTGTCTCGCGCTTGCTTCACGAATGCTTCGTGTAGGGAAAAAGAACGCATCCTGCAGCTTTGGGCCGACCTTGCTTGCGATGTTCTGCTTTCGGGCCAACCGTGGTCTAGTTTCTTTTTTTTCCAGGGGGCTTAAGCAAATGGAGGACGTTCATGCCCCGTGGATGCACAAAATCCTTTCCCACTGGGTAGGTGGATTAACGAGTTTTCAACTCGGGGCTCAGTTTTCTTGACTGCTCGCAAATTTTGCTGGGTAGGGACGGATCGCAAGCGAGCATGGATGACCACTTATCCACCCAAGGAGGCGTATCTCAAATTCCTTGAACTGTCGAAAGAAACCGCGCGACGGGTTTTCTTTTCGGTTTCCCTTCAAAACCAATGGAGACAAGCAGGGAAGTGACCACTTCTGTGATACAACAAAAAGGGCCAAAGACTAACTTCCCATATAAATGGAGAGATTCCCTTGTATCACAGAAGTGGGGAAAACCCCCTTGATCCCACAACCCTGGAGACAAGGGATACCAACTCCAAAAAGCGACAAGCCACCTTGGAAAACCGGACACTCCGATGCAGGAAAAGCCGTTCACCGAGGTCGGGAGTCGCGAGCTGGTTCGGCGGGTGGTTTTGGTTCAGTGCTTCACTGCTATTGGGTTGGATCTTTAGACTTTAACTTTTTGGCAAATCAAAGGGTTCTCCACGAAACCCACAAAAAGTGAAACAACTTTTTGCAGAGGGATCAGAAGCAACCCAGGTGTTTCACCTAGCCCAAGACATGATTTGAGGCCCCGTTCAGGGGTTTCAAGGCCGGCCCCGAGAAAAACCATCCCTGGGTTCCTTGAAGGGAATGGGTTCCCCCCCCCCACATTCCCTGCCGAGCGAGACAGCCGCCTTCTACCGAAATACATCCAGTCAATGCTCCGGAATTCCAAGCCTAAGCTGGCGAACGCAAGTCGAAGGGCGGTTGGTCAAGAGTCCAAGCCTCTTGGAAAGCTGGTTTTGAGAGGAACCTTTTGCTACATCTCCCTCGATTTCGAGAATTATCAATAGGATTATCTTCGTCCATGATGGAGGGAAGGGGAATGTTAGGAAACCGAAAAAAATACTAGTTTGAGACTTTCAGAAAAATCAGCGCCATTCAGTCAGTGTGCAGTTGTGCAGCAATAGAAATATGCGTTGATTGAACAAGGATCTTACTTGTTACAGGGTGATTGGTCCAACTGATGCCCACTCACTGTTTCACAAAGTGCACCAAAGCAGGGTCCAAAAGATCGCGTGGCCAAGTGCAACAGCGAAGCGTTACTTCCACTGCGCGGTCAATGCAAGGGCATGGCTACGAAAGCAATCTCGAGGGGGCACCCTTTGGCGGACATCATGTACATGGGTGCGCGCTTTGGTGCATGTTGCTTGGATGTTAGGACTTCAACTCTTTTTTAGCTAATGGGTTTTCCAGTAAACCACTAAAAGTTAGGCTTTAGCAGGGGAGCAGATTTCGCAACCGAGAGTACATGGGCGCGCACGCGCTCGAGTTTGTGTGTGTGTTCGTACACAAACCATTTGTTTGAGGCATGGCGATGCTGTTAATCCTGGTGCTCGCTAGCCTCTTTCTTTGACACGCAACGCATTTCGGGTCGGTTCCTTGGTGTCTTCTTCTTACCTCTTAAGAACACAACTTTTCAATTTTTTGGGTAACATGGGCTATATGTCTGTAAAAGATTAACTTCCCCAGGGCTTGGAGTTTTAAGGGGTAAGTCTTGTTTCAAAAGCGGCAGTGCCACATGCGGGACCGAACCACAAACGCTTGGCGGTTCCCAGCCATCCGGTTCCTTAGCTTTTTAGGTGTTTGCTTGGTTTAGTGGTTGGGTTTCCATTTAAGCCACTGAGTGTTCAACTTTTAGCAGGGGATTCGAGGACAGCCCGGATATCCGAATCCACCGAAAGGATGACAACACCAAATGAAATTGCTTGCTGGTTCTCAGCAGGGGATGAGGGAATGACGTTTCCTTTAAGGGAATCCCTAGGTTCATTCCCTGCTGAGCACCAGCAAGATTGGCTCGTACTGTGGATGGTCGCGAACTCCTCTTCGGCACTACGAAATGACATGGTTGAAACCAGAACGCTTGTTGGTATGTTCGATGGGGAACCGAATCATTCCGGGGTTTCTGAACGGTGGTGCCGGATTTCGTCCATCCACAGTATCAAGGATATTGTATGTTCGAATGATCATGGTGGGAATAAGGACTAGCGAGTTTGCAGCGTAGCATTGAATGGAAGGCGTGCATCATGTGCTGAAAGTGGAAGACAGACATAACCTTTCAACTTGGGGCAATACTTGGGTGCATCTCTCATGTCCCTATATAAGCACTTGATTCAGGGGCTGATTGAAGAAGTATGAGTCCATATATGAACCCATGGCCATTTGCCCTTTGGGGGCTCATCTTCCTATTAAGCCATGACTAACGTGAATTAACCCTCAAACTAGGGGTTCATACCAGGGGGTCTGTTTTAGCGCCGGCTCAGGCAGCCGACATCACAGGCGCATAGAAACTTCATGGAACCTTCATGGAAAGTTCATGGAACGTTCATGGAAAGTTCATGGACAGTTGAAGGAAAGTTCATGGAAAGTTCATGGAAGTGTCGTGGAAAGTTCCTGTATGAACAGTTCTTGGACACTTCATGGAACGTTCATGAAAAGCTCATGGAAAGTTCATGGAAAATGGAAAGTTCATGGAACGTTCATGGAAGTTTCATGGAAAGTTCCTGGACAGTTCATGGAGCGTTCATGGAATTTTCATGGAAAGCTCATGGAAAGTTCATGGAAAGATCCTGAAAAGTGCATGAAAAGTTCATGAACACTTCCTGGAAAGTTCCTGGACAGTTCATGGAAAGTTCATTAAAAGTTCATGGAAAGTTTCTGGAACGTTTATGGAAAGTTCCTGGAAAGTTCGGAATCAAACACCCCCGTATGAAAGGATTCGATCTATACAAAACAAAGGGAACGTGCAGGAATGACCGCGTGGTACGCCTTTTCCCCCCCCTCCCTGCAATGCTCCGAACCAGTGAGGGGTTAAGGGGAGGCAAAGTTCTGGTGCCTAACACGCCGCCTGTCGGACACTTCCGTGGATAAAAAGGGGCATGGACTACAACCCGCGAGCCGCGAGGTGCCCGAGGCTGTGAGTGTGCAGTGACGACGCCTGACCAAAGGTTTCCCGCGATCTCTGAGGTGTGTCTTTAGCTGGCTAGGTCCCCCAAGGTGCCCGAACTTTTTGTTGGGAGGGTTCCCCTTCTAGCATAGACTAAAGAAAAAAGAGTTGGTACCCTTATTCTAAACTCTCTACTGGAGGACCTAGTTTGCATGGCAAGGTAGCACTTGGCCGAGGTTCTTCTATGGAGCTGCTGAAGGCTCCATTGCGTGCCTCACGTGCACGCATGACCTTTCAAATTGCGCAGAGTATGCCAGGCACAAATTGAAGTCAATGCGCGTCCGATGCCGGCGATTCAATGACTGCCGTCAGCGGGTAGATCAGCTGAGGGAGATGCAAGCATAGCATCAATTGAGGGTTGCTCAGGGATGGATGCCCTTGTGGACCTTTTTATGAGCCCCTTCTATGCGGAAAGCGCAAGGGCGCTTTAACTGGGACCCTGCGTCCTTTGCATGGCTCATCACCTGGACGACTGGTTCGAAAGGCCACGGTTTGCTACTTAGCCCGGTGGCAGTGCAATTAGCACGCTAGCAGTGCACAATGTCGGCGCCAGTTTGCCAAGTTCCAGGCGACGACAAGGAGGAGAAGCGCCTGGATGTGCACAAGAAGACCAGGCTTTGCAAGTTCTTTGCGATAAGTGCATGCACCCGTGGGACAGCCTGTGCCTTTGCCCACGGCTTGGATCAGTTGCGAAATCAGCCTGACTTCTCCAAGACACGGCTGTGTGCAGACTTCGTCGAGTTGGGAAGCTGTTCAGAAGGAAGAAAATGCAAATTTGCACATGGGAAGCAGGAACTTCGTCCAGGCTCTGCTGCGAAAGTAGGTCGGCCATCGTCAAAGATGGAGAAATCAAGGTGCAAGGAGGTCAGCGAGGGTGAAGCTAGCCTGGTTGCAGCACAGGCAATGAAGACCTTGCAGCTTCAACAGTCTCTACATGAGCAAGCAGCACTGGAGCTTTCGATGCAGTTCTCCAGCACGCACACGACCAAGATGGAAGCTGACAAAGATGACTGTCAGCTTAACGCGTCGACTTCCTTCAGTCGGCAAACCACTTGGGAAGGGATGGAAACTGCCTCAGCCGGATTCAGCCGCGGCACCACTCTTTCCAGTGACACGGAGTTGCCGGCCCAGACGTTCGACGAGCTCGCCCAGGAGTGTGACAAGACGGCCAAGCCACGCAATTTGGAGATCCTTGTGAAGAACACATTCCTTGAAGTCAGAGAGCAGGATGACGAGGATCGGGTGCTTAGACGCACTCGCTCCCTGCCTCTTTTGTAAGATTTAAGATGCAAACCCAGAATGTCCGGAAGTCAATTTCCCGGGCATTCACCAAAAGGTTTAAGGCAGCGTAAGCACATTTGGTCACAGTGCCGATGTGTTTGCAGCGCCCACATTGGATTGTTTGATGCAGCCAGCCTGGCTTTTGCAGAGCTCAGCTGGGCTGGCTGTCAGGATGTGATGACTTGCAGGATTCTTGTGTAGTTGGAATTGGTAACTTGTTGACGGCCTAGTACATGCGGGTTTTGTATGTTGCTTCGAGTTGTTGCTTTAAAAGCTGTTCAAAAGAAGGGCTGCGGCTTGCGCACGAATCACCCGTCTTTCCATCCTATTCGCAGCCGGCCCGGTTTTTCGGACTCGCTGTGGACACGCTTCATGGTTTTTAGTCATTAGTCTATGGCGCATTCCAGATGAACTTGCCAATCCGACATCGGAAGCAAGTTCCTGGACATGTTCTATAGCTGTCAGCTCCGACTTTAAGAACACCCCTCGCTGCTTCAGCGTGATACTTGATCTTGTGGTCAGGAAGTGCATTCAGCACAAGCAAGAACTGCGTTGTTTCTTTGTTATTTGGTGAAGTTGTGGGCTGTGCTGTTTGGTTTTGTTCGGAGAAGTCGCTGGCTTTTCGCAGTGGCTTTGCACGGTTGGGGAAGCACTCAACAGTTTGCATGGCTGTGCGTGAATAAGAGCTTCCGACATCTCTGACATGCTTTGTCTCTTTGCTTGGAAGGAGCTGAATATCGCTGCCAAGCACCACTAAGCATGTACAGCCTCGAAGCCTTCTCAACCGGAAGGCTAGAAACTATGGCTTGCGGACACGTTCAACATCTTGGGAAAAGCAGCAAGGGTACAGATACGTGGAACTCTGGACATGTCATCATTTAAGAAGATGTTCAATCAAGGTGCACGCTCCATCAAGTGGCCCGGAGTGACCCCAAAAATAGATTTTGACTTTCTTTTGTGGCGACAGCGCTGATCTGAATGCTCTGGCGCATGTTAAGTGGCTCGAATCTAGGCCACGGTTTGCTCCTTAGGACGGTCACATCAGTGCACAATGTCGGCGCCAGTTTGCCAAGTTCCAGGCGACGACAAGGAGGAGAAGCGCCTGGATGTGCACAAGAACACCAGGCTTTGCAAGTTCTTTGCGATGAGTGCATGCACCCGTGGGACAGCCTGTGCCTTTGCCCACGGCTTGGATCAGTTGCGCAATCAACCTGACTTCTCCAAGACGCGGCTGTGTGCAGATTTCGTTGAGTTGGGAAGCTGTTCAGAAGGCCGCAAATGCAATTTTGCACATGGGAAGCAGGAACTCCGTCCAGGCTCTGCGGCGAAAGTGGGTCGGCCATCGTCAAAGATGGAGAAAGCAAGGTGCAAGGAGGTCAGCGAGGGTGAAGCTAGCCTGGTTGCAGCACAGGCAATGAAGACCTTGCAGCTTCAACAGTCTCTACATGAGCAAGCAGCACTGAAGCTGCTGATGCAGTTCTCCAGCACGCACCCGACCAAGACGGAAGCTGACAAAGATGACTGTCAGCTTAACGCGTCGACTTCCTTCAGTCGGCAAACCACTTGGGAAGGAACGGAAACTGCCTCAGCCGGATTCAGCCGCGGCACCTCGCGTTCCAGTGACACGGAGATGCCGGCCAAGACGTTCGACGCTCTCGCCGAGGAGTGTGACAAGACGGCCAAGCCACGCAATTTGGAGATCCTTGTGAAGAACACATTCCTTGAAGTGAGAGAGCAGGATGAAGAGGATCGGGTGCTTCAGCGCACTCGCTCCCTGCCTCTTTTGTAAGATTTAAGATGCAAACCCAGAATGTCCTGAAGTTAAGTCCCGGGCATTCACCAAAAGGTTTAAGGCAGCGTAGGCACATTTGGCCACAGCGCCGATGTGTTTGCAGCGCCCAACTTTGTTTGTTATGTGCGCGCGGGTGTCCCTTTTTTGAGTTGTTCCTTTAAGAAAGGCCGAGAGCGTCGTTCACGACGCGTCCGCCTTCCCAGCCTATTTGCAGTCGGCCCGGTTTTGGGACTGCGGTTGCTGCGGACACGCTGCATGTTTTTTAGTCATTTGTCTGCGGCGCACGACAGATGAACTTTCAGACATCGGAAGCAAGTTCCTCGACATGTCTTATAGCTGTCATCTAAGACTTTAAGAGCACCCCTCGCTGCTTCAGCGTGATACTTGATCTCGTGGTCAGGAAGTGCATTCAGCACAAGGAAGAACTGCGTTGTTTCTTTGTTATTTGGTGAAGTTGTGGGCTGTGCTGTTTGGTTTTGTTCGGAGAAGTCGCTGGCTTTTCGCAGTAGCTTTGCACGGTTGGGGAAGCACTCAACAGTTTGCATGGCTCTGCGTGAATAAGAGCTTCCGACATCTCTGACATGCTTTGTCTCTTTGCTTGGAAGGAGCTGAATATCGCTGCCAAGCACCGCCAAGCATGTACAGCCTCGAAGCCTTCTCAACCGGAAGGCTAGAAACTATAGCTTGCGGACACATTCAACATGTTGGGAAAAGCAGCAAGGGTACAGATACGTGGAACTCTGGACATGTCATCATTTAAGAAGATATTCAATCAAAGTGCACGCTCCGTCAAGTGGCCCGGAGTGACCCCAAAAATAGATTTTGACTTTCTCTTGTGACAGCGCTGATGTGAATGCTCTGGCGCATGTTAAGTGGCTCGAATCTAGGCCACGGTTTGCTCCTTAGGACGGTCACATCAGTGCACAATGTCGGCGCCAGTTTGCCAAGTTCCAGGCGACGACAAGGAGGAGAAGCGCCTGGATGTGCACAAGAAGACCAGGCTTTGCAAGTTCTTTGCGATGGGTGCATGCACCCGTGGGACAGCCTGTGCCTTTGCCCACGGCTTGGATCAGTTGCGCAATCAACCTGACTTCTCCAAGACGCGGCTGTGTGCAGATTTCGTCGAGTTGGGAAGCTGTTCAGAAGGAAGCAAATGCAAATTTGCACATGGGAAGCAGGAACTCCGTCCAGGCTCCGCTGCGAAAGTGGGTCGGCCATCGTCAAAGATGGAGAAAGCAAGGTGCAAGGAGGTCAGTGAGGGTGAAGCTAGCCTGGTTGCAGCACAGGCAATGAAGACCTTGCAGCTTCAACAGTCTCTACATGAGCAAGCAGCACTGAAGCTGCTGATGCACTTCTCCAGCACGCACACGACCAAGATGGAAGCTGACAAAGATGACTGTCAGCTTAACGCGTCGACTTCCTTCAGTCGGCAAACCACTTGGGAAGGGATGGAAACTGCCTCAGCCGGATTCAGCCGCGGCACCACTCTTTCCAGTGACACGGAGTTGCCGACCCAGACGTTCGACGAGCTCGCCCAGGAGTGTGACAAGACGGCCAAGCCACGCGATTTGGAGATCGTTGTGAAAAACACATTCCTTGAAGTGAGAGAGCAGGATGAAGAGGATCGGGTGCTTAGACGCACACGCTCCCTGCCTCTTTTTTAAGCCTTAGGATGCAAACCCAGATGCAAACCCAGAATGTCCGGAAGTTAAGTCCCGAGCGTTCGCCCAAAGGTTTAAGGCAGCGTAAGCACATTTGGCCACAGTGTGGATGTGTTTGCAGCGCCCCATATGTGTTTGTTTGATGCAGCCAGTCTGGCTGTTGCAGAGCTCGGCTGGGCTGGCTGTCAGGAGATACGATTCCGGAGTTATTGGAAGTGACAAGTTGTTAATGGTGTTGTACTTGCGTGGTTGTGTGTGTGTGTGTGTGTTCGCGTGCATGTGTTCTTTTTTGTTGAGTTGTTCCTTTAAGAAAGGCCAAAGACCGTCGTGCACGACGCGTCCGCCTGCCCATTCAATTTGCAGCCGGCCCGGTGTTTTTTGGACTGTGGTCGCTGCGGACATGCTGCATGTTTTTTGGTAATTAGCCTATGGCGCATTACAGATGAACTTGACAATCCGACACCGGAAGCAAGTTCCTCGACATGCCTTATAGCTGTCATCTAAGACTTTCAGAGCGCCTCACTGCTTCAGTGTACTTGATCTTGTGGTCAGAAAGTGCATTCAGCACAAGCAAGGAATGTGTTGTTTCTTCCGTGATTTGGTGAAGTTGTGGGCTGTGCTGTTTGGTTTTGTTCGATGAAGTCGCTGGCTTTGCGCAGTTGAGGAAACACTCAACAGTTTGCACAGCTCTGCGTGAATCAGAGTATCAGACATCTCTGACATGCCGCTGCCAAGCGCTGCCAAACCTGCGCATGTACAGGCTGGAAGCCTTCTCAACTGGAAGGCTAGAAACTATGGCTTGCGGACACATTCAACATCCTGGGAAAATCAACACGGGGACAGATACGTGCAACTCTCCACATGTCATCATACTTCGAGTTTCATGCTTCATCAAGCGGCCCGGAGCAACCCCAAACTTGGCCTTTGACTTTCTCTTGTGGCGACAGCGCTGATGTGTATGCTCTGGCGCATGTTGAGTGGCTCGAATCTAGGCCACGGTTTGCTCCGCAGCACGGTCACATCAGTGCACAATGTCGGCGCCAGTTTGCCAAGTTCCAGGCGACGACAAGGAGGAGAAGCGCCTGGATGTGCACAAGAAGACCAGGCTTTGCAAGTTCTTTGCCATGGGTGCATGCATCCGTGGGACAGCCTGTGCCTTTGCCCACGGCTTGGATCAATTGCGCAATCAACCTGACTTCTCCAAGACGCGACTTTGTGCAGATTTCGCCGAGTTGGGAAGCTGTTCAGAAGGCCGCCAATGCAAATTTGCACATGGGAAGCAGGAACTCCGTCCAGGCTCCGCTGCGAAAGTGGGTCGGCCATCGTCAAAGATGGAGAAAGCAAGGTGCAAGGAGGTCAGTGAGGGTGAAGCTAGCCTGGTTGCAACACAGGCAATGAAGACCTTGCAGCTTCAACAGTCCCTACATGAGCAAGCAGCACTGAAGCTTTTGATGCACTTCTCCAGCACGCACACGACCAAGATGGAAGCTGACAAAGATGACTGTCCGCTTAACGCGTCGACTTCCTTCAGTCGGCAAACCACTTGGGAAGGGATGGAAACGGCCTGCGGATTCAGCCGCGGCACCACGCTTTCCAGTGACACGGAGATTGCGGGCAAGTCGATCGACGAGCTCGCCCAGGAGTGTGACAAGATGGCGAAGCCACACAATTTTGAGATCTTTGTGAAGAACACATTCATCGAAGTGAGAGAGCAGGATGAAGAGGATCGGGTGCTTCAGCGCACTCGCTCCCTGCCTCTTTTGTAAGATTTAAGATGCAATCCCAGAATGTCCGGAAGTTAAGTCCCGAGCATTCGCCCAAAGGTTTAAGGCAGCGTAAGCACATTTGGCCACAGTGTCGATGTGCTTGCAGCGCCCAACTTTGTTTGATGCAGCCAGCTTTGTTTTCGCAGAGCTAGCTGTCCGGATGTGCTTTCTCAGGTTTAAGGCAGCGTAAGCAATTTTAGCCACGATGTGCCAATGTGCTTGCAGCGCCCACTTTGTTTGTTTGATGCAGCCAGCTTTGCTTTTGCAGAGCTAGCTGTCCGGAAGTGTTTGTCAGGTTTAAGGCAGCGAAAAGCACACGATATGCTGATGTGCTTTGCAGCGCCAATCTTCTGTTTGTGCAAGGTATGCGCGTATGCGAACTTGCCTTGGCATTGACATCACAAACCCCCACAAGATCCAAAGCTGATCGAACATCGTGCAATATTCAAAATAGATAGAATGCAAAAACAATATATATATATATACAAAAATCGATTTATTTTACATATTATAGTATTGTCTTTACATACGATATTATGATTGATTTTCTTTTAAATAATATAGATTTATGTTTTAATTATTTAAGGGCTGCCGTCCTGTGTTGCCGATCCTTTCGTGGGTACGAATTGGCTGGTTTGTTGGGCCTAGGAAAGGGAAATTCGGGAAATAGCCCTAATTAATGGGTATACTTGCCTTTTTTTATTTTTACTTGCATGTTTTAATTTGGTCTTGATTATGATTCAGCCGGCCATATAATGATGAAAAGGATGATGATGATGATGACGATGATATAGCCCAAAACAAAATCTCTTATACCTTAAATTAAAGAATATTAATTTGAGGTGTTCTGCTTGACAAAAAGCTTATTAGGAAAAAGAGATAAGGATGCTATTCCCACATTTCAAATTAAAAAAAAATAATTTGAGGTATTTTCCCTGACAAAAAACTCGCTAGAAAAGAAACAAAAATGATGATGACGACGATGATATAGCCCAAAACAAAATCTCCCACACCTCAAATTAAAAAATATTAATTTGAGGTGCTCTCCCTGACAAAAAGCTCGCCAGGAAAAGAGATAAGGATGCCACTCCCACACCTCAAATTAAAAAATAATAATTTGAGGTGTTTTCCCTGACAAAAAGCTCGCTGCTGCTCCTGGGTTCCGGGCTGTCAAGTTTGTCAAGTCTGTCAAGTGGCCTCAAAATCGTATAAAACGCCTGCAAATGGCCCATTTTTGCACGCGCAGTGATATCACAGAAGCGAGGACATCTGTCACAGAAACGAGGACAAGCTCGGCTGGCTGCCTTGTCACCCCAAAGACCCCGTAGTTCGGTCGGTTACCGCGCGCCTCTCAATAGCGCCCTTGCCCGGGGCTCAAATCCCGGCGGTGACGAGGAGGATCCAAATAATTGGGCAATAAATGATTGTCATGCTAACGCTCATCGTAGTGTCCTCTGTGTCAGTAACGCTGCCTGAAAAGAGATGACGACGATCATGATGATAATGGCATGGGCGTGATGATCGCTATTATCCGTGTCATGATATCCTCTGCATCTCTGCTGGTTCCTTGATAACAATCATCATCGTATCCTTTGCATTGCCAAGGATGTCCAACGTCTTTTTTGATTTCTAAATATAATTAGATTTTAGATAATACTAGGTGATGATCAGATGATGACAAAGATGATAACAAGAATGATAATTATCATCGTAGCACCCTTAGCATCACCAACGGCTGTGATGATATTTATCATCGCAACATCCTCTGCATCACCAATGCTACATGATAAAAGATGACGACGACCATGATGATAATGGCACGGGCGTGATGATCGTTAGCATCGCATCATGGCAACTATCATCACACCATCCTTTGCATCACTACTTGTTCCTTGATAATTATCATTATCGTATCCTTTGCATTGCCAAGGATGTCTAACGTCCCTTTTGATTTCTGTATATTAAGATATTAGATGATGCTAAACGTCCCTTTTGATTTATATATATATAAAGATATTAGATGATGTTAGGTGATATACAGATAATGATAAAGATGATGACAAGGATGATAACTATCATAGTAGCATCCTTAGCATCACCAACGGCTGTCATGATAACGATCATCGCAGCATCCTCTGCATCACCAATGCTGCTTGACAACAGATGACGACGACCATGATGATAATGATGATAAGGATAAGAGAATAGGAAAGAGATGATGATAAGAATGATGCTGATGACGATGACTGTGATAATAACAATCATCATAGTTGCTGATACTGATGAGGATGAAATTTTGGTTATACTTATGCGCCAACCACCCTTCCCGTGCGCCTCCCCTTTTTAAAAAAAGGGTCGACGGATATTTTCTATTTTAAATAACAATTATTCTAATTTTATGGATATTATGTATTAATATAATACATATAAGATTTTTAAATATAATATAATTTCAATTATATATATTGAATAGGATTGATGATATTGATGAATAATAATTTGTATATATGATATTATGAATTAATTGATTGGTTTTATAATTAATTTGTTTAGGTTTTTTGTAAAGAAAAATTATATTTAAAATATATTTATATACCTAGAGATTGGTTTTTGTATTTTTTTCCCCTATAATATTATATATATATATTATTTTTCTTTATATTCCTTTTATTTTTAAATAATTTATTGAAATTATTTTTGAATGCGATCGATTCTTTAACTAACCATTAATGATTTAAACGATTTATAAATATATATAATTTAAGGATAGGTAATGGTTTTATATTTTCTATTTTCCAAAATATCTTTATTCCTAAATCCATTTCCGAATTCTTTTATAATGATTATTGAATTCGATGTCTATGCCATATAATCCCATTTTAAGATTCTTGGAAGAATATTAACTCATGAGCTCGACATAAATTGCGTTAATTAGTCCTAATTAAATCAACAATTTAAATCGTGCCTTAGATAAATCTTGGATTTGATTTTATTAATTCTCGGAATAAAAAATAATTATTTAACCATTTTTTGGAAATAGATTTAGAAATAATATACTTCTTCTTGTTTAATATATATATATATATTATAATTTTAAATAATTATAGATTTTCATAAATAAATTAATATTTTTAAATTAATAAAATAACTATATATATATATATATATTAAATCTATTTATTTAATATAATATTATATAATATTATATATTATCTATATTGAATAAATTCATATTAA